GAGCCTAAACTGCATGCTGCTACGCTCCTCGACGTACGAGCCTAAACTGCAAGTCATGACGCTCCTCGACGCACGAGCCTAAACTGCAAGTCATGAAGCTCCTTAATGCACAAGCCTAAACTGCATGCTGCTACGCTCCTCGACGTACGAGCCTAAACTGCCAGTGATGACGCTCCTTGATGCATGAGCTTAAACTGCACGTTGCTACACTCCTGGCCCGCATGAGTCTAAACTGTGTACGGCCCAAAAAAAATAGTCTGCTAGGTTGAAACCTCGAAAGAGGCGGCCTAGGCAAAAAAAAAAGTCAGCTAGGTTGAAAACCTCACGAGAGACGGCCTAGGCAAAAATTAGGACATAAAAAAAAAACTCACCCCTCTGAACTACGTTATGACTTGATCCTCTTCACCGAGGTACGTAGATAGCTTAGAGTTTCATTCTAAGTTCAGTCGCATGAGTTTTAAAAAAATAAAAGTTTGGCGTCATCGGATCATTACATTAATTCTTCCAAGTGTAGAGACACATATCTATGAGGAAAAGAGACGATTTGCTTTGAAGTATAAAGATGTTTTATTGCTTCAATAGTACAAAAGTTGATACATCAAAAAATGTAGAGACAAAAGGAATTAGACGTTTTCCTATACAAAAGCCTAAGTCATGAAAATGATCGTAAACTAGTCTTTGTGGCCGATTAGTCTTGAATGCTCATTCCAAGTCCATATGACGTCTCCACATTCTATTACACTATCCTCAATGCCTCGTATATATGAAGTCATCTCTCTTGAAAAACCTTCAATCACCACGGGAGCCGCCATAGATAAACTTCAAGACCTTCAACAAATCAAGTGAAACAGTTGGTGAAGGGGTGACTCCGCTTCTTGTATGACATCTCAGACTGATAAACTCGGCGGCAACGCAAGTCTGTAAGCCACCTCTCCCACTCGATCAAGAATCTCAAAAGGACCAATGAATCTAGGGCTTAGCTTGCCCTTCTTCCCAAATCTCATCACGCCCTTCATGGGCGACACCCGAAGCAACACTCGCTCTCCGATCATGAATGCCACATCACGAACCTTGCGGTCGGCATAACTCTTTTGTCTAGACTGAGCTGTACGAAGCCTATCTTGGATGATCTTAACCTTGTCCAAGGCATCCTGTACTAGGTCTGTACCCAACAATCGAGCCTCTCCTGGCTCAAGCCATCCAACCGACGACCGACACCGCCTACCATATAAAGCCTCATAGGGACCATCTGGATGCTCGACTGGTAACTGTTGTCGTAGGCAAACTCTGCTAATGGCAAGAACTGATCCCACGAACCTCCAAAGTCAATAACACATGCTCGGAGCATATCCTTCAAAATCTGAATGGTACGCTCGGACTGTCCGTCTGTCTGAGGATGAAATGTTGTGCTCAACTCGACCCGTGTACCCAACTCACACTGAACTGCCCTCTAGAAATGCGAAGTAAACTGTGTACCTCGGTCCGAAATGATAGACACGGGCATACCATGAAGGCGAACAATCTCCTGAATATAAATCTCTGCCAACTGCTCAGAAGAATAGGAAATTGCCACAGGAATGAAATGCACTGACTTGGTCAGCCTATCAACAATAACTCATACTGCATCGAACTTCCTTTGAGTCCGTGGGAGTCCAACAACGAAGTCCATAGTGATACGCTCTCATTTCCACTCAGGAATCTCAATCCTCTAAAACAGACCACCAGGTCTCTGATGCTCCTACTTTACCTGTTGACAATTCAAACACCGAGCCACATATGCAACAATATCCTTCTTCATCCTCCTCCACCAGTAATGCTGCCGCAAGTCCTGATACGTCTTAGTGGCGCCCGGATGAATAGATTACCGGGAACTATGGGCCTCCTCTAGAATCAACTCTCGAAGTCCATCCACATTAGGCACACAAACTGTGTTGGTAAGTGTCGAGCCTAACCTCGGAAGTAGTGACGAGGCTAGGACAAGACTACCAAATAAACCTGTGCAGTTAAATCATATACGACAAATAATAATAACAGAAACTAGCAGTTAAAGATGGGAAGGGGGACATGCCGCAAGGAATATCAAGTACTAACAGAATTCCTGTAGAGAAGCATAAAGAACACCATAATTCAATTATAAGCAAGAATAAGGAAAACAGTAACAAGTGCACGGCATCACCATTCGTATTTTTACTCTCGTTCTCACCATAAGAATCAATAGATTCGGCACGGCATCACCCTTCGTGCTTTTACCTCACATAATCATGGCACGGCATTATCTTTCGTGCATTATCACTCATATCATGGCACGGCATCACACTCGTGCTTTTACATTCACAATATCGGCACGACATTTCGTGCATTAACACTCACTCACAAATATCACGCACGGCATCACCCTTCGTGCTTTACACTCTTCCTTACCCAAGCAACAACCACAAAGCAATTCGGGCAAGGGAATCAATAAAATCACAATAGAATCCCGGCAAGGGAACAATAATATAATAATAGTATTCCGGCAAGGGAAACAATATCATAAGCGATAACATCCCGGCAAGGGAAAACAATATCATAAACAATAACTTCCCGGCAAGGGAAATAACAATATATCTCATCTCGTTTCCACAATAACTTCACAACATAAATCTCAACTTGAGCCAATGCTCAACAATGGTCAATTAGCAAGAATACCTTCATAAGCCTTGCTCAACATTGAAAATCACCATATTAAGCATGGACAATACATAACGGAGTCACAACAATCATAGTATAAGACTCGCGGGCATGCTTGACACCAACGTATAGATACTCGTCACCGCACCTATACGTCGTACTCAACAATTAACACATAGCAAATAAGATCACAACTCCTATTCCCTCAAGCTAAGGTTAGACCAAACACTTACCTCAATGCCACGAACACAATCAAGCCTCAACTACCGCTTTACCCCTCGATTCCACTTCTAATTCGCTTGTATCTTGTCACGATTTACTTAACGATATCAATAAATGCTAAACAAACCAATTATAATGCATGAAAATAGGTTTTCTAATGATTTTCCCAAAAAGTCAAAAATCGACGACGGGCTCGCTTGGTCAAAACCCGAAGTTCGAACCAAAACCCGATCACCCATTCACTCACGAACTCAAATATATAATTTATTTTGAAATCAGACCTCACGAGGTCCAAATCCCTAAAATTTAAAAATCCTAAGTTCTACCCAAAAACACCCAAATTCCCCTGAAAATCCCTAGATTTTGTGATAAAATCTGGTTAAAAGATGGATTAGATTAAAAGAAATGAGTTAGAAATGACTTACTAATGATTTGGAAGAGTTTGTGCCCTTAAAAAATCGCCCAAATATGTTTTAGGGTTTGAAAAGTTGTAAAAATGAAGAAGAATCCCGCCTGAAATCCCACTTATGAGGTGCAGATGTCGCAATTGCGACCAGGGGTTAGCAATTGCGAACCCTGAGAATTCCTGCTAGATTCGCAAATGCGAAGAAACTGTCGCATTTGCGACCCCTGACAATTCCTGTCATTTTCGCAATTGCGAAGGAAAGGGTCGCATTTGCGACCTCTGGGATTTCTGAGGTTTTTCGCATTTGCGAAGAAAGGCTCGCAAATGCGAGCTAGGCTGGCCAGGGCTTATTCCGCAATTGTGATCAGCCCTTCGCATTTCCCATGCCATCAGACATCGCATTTTGCAATCTCTGATCTCGCAATTGCGAGATCAGAGGCCATAATACCAGAACTGAACCTGCAACAATTTTCCTAAGTGCAAATACACTCCGTGGCCTATCCAAAACTCACCCGAGCCCTCGGGCTCCAAACCAAACATGCACGCAAGTCCAAAAATATTATACGGACTTGTTCGTGAGATCAAATCATCAAAATAACATCAACAACTATGAATTAAACCTCAAATTCATGAAATCACTCAAGAACATTGAAATTCTCATTTTCTCAACTAAAGGTCCGATTAATACCAAACGAACTCCGATTCTTACCAAATTCCACAGATTCAACCAAATTATTATTTTAAACTTATACCGGGCTCCGGAACCAAGATACGGGCCCGATACCATCAAGAAAATGCATTATTTCACTTCTAAAGGCCTTTATACTTTCCAGCAAATAATTTTCTTCAAAAATTCTTTTCTCGGGCTTGGGACCTCGGAACTCGATTCCGGGCATACGCCCAAGTCCCATATTTTACTATGGACCCTACGAGACCGTCGGATCACGGGTCCGGGTCCATTTACCAAGAAAGTTGACCAAAATCAACTTTAATCAAATTTTAAAGACCAATTTCCTTATCTTACTTAGATTTCATATAAAAGCTTTCCGGAAATGCGCTCGGACTGCGCATGCAAATCGAGGTGAGACAAAAAGTGGTTCTTAAGGCCTCAGAACACAGAATTTACTTTCAAAACGAGTGATGACCTGGGTCATCACAAACTAACATGACAAAATTGATCATTTGTGTAAGCTTTGAAGATGTCCTTTTATTTTAAATTCATGTATTATGGTAATGTAATAATATTTCTCGGTATTTAGATGATTGTTGTATTATTATACATAAAATTTCTCTCATTAATTAAATTTTATTGTTCCTTTATATAAATAAATATTTAAATCATCACTTGCCATTATTAACGTGCATCGCACGTTCATAGATACTAGTCTATCCAAATTTGTAAAAGTGAAACTATCTTTTTTTTTTGCTAATATAAAGTGAAACAACCGCGACTAGAAAAATACTAGAAGATGAATAATAAAAAATGTATATATATATGACCTTATTTGATGCTACATGTCCAACATATATATATACACATACTAGGTGGGGTAGCCCGGGCAAAGCCCGGGCCCAACATGAACAAAGCTATATTATTTTATAATGCTTCAACAATTCAGCTCAACATAAATAAAGCTATATTGTTTTATTATACATTCAGCAACCGATAACTCCTTGAAAATTATATGAGTGTGAACTTTAGTTAACATTTGGAGAGCATCTGAATTTGTTAGCCAACTAGTAATACTTCTGATACTCTAACATGCATTTTTTCCATTCTTCTTTTGTCAAGAGCTGTCACCGCAAACTAAAGCTTCAGCAATGTGCAGAACACCATAACGATAAGTCTTCTGGAATAAGTTAACAATGTTTTTCGAATTCACATCGATACAAGTATAAAAAAAGGAGCATCTACACTGCTCTCCAGGGAGCATAACTAACAATTCTCCATTCACATAGCTTCTGAAAAGAAAGGCCATTCAATTTAAAAGTATACAAGATCGACATAATACCTCACCTCTACTAATCAAGCAGCTTCAGTCTTGACCATTACAAAGGTTTAAATGAGACTTTGAGCAGCAATAGTCCACTCAGGCGTCCTAAATATAATGATAATAGTCTCTGTTGCTCCAGGCCTGGGATCATTTATAGCTTTTGTATCAGAAATCTAGAAAATAATTAGTCAAATGTGAAAATGTTTTTATACAACGCTAAATCAGTACTTTACATAAATGAGATCAAGTACACCGATATGGTAATATTTAGAAACAAAAAATGGTGGAAAACACGGAAACAAAACATGTAGAGAAAGAGAACCAGAAATCTAGAACAGTAAAAGATTAAGAACAAAGAGAACTAATAGTAACCAAGAAGGTAGAAAGATGTACCAAAAGAGGGAGATGCTATTTACTATCATATATACACATTTATGCGTAAAGAGGGAGATCATATATCTTTCTTATTGGGCATTGCCTTGGTAAAGACCAATCAGAAATACAAAGGCAGAATATAAAAGAGGAAAAAAAGGTGTAATGTTATACAATCCAGAGATCCTACCTTACATATTTGTCGAAAACATCCTCCGCCTTCTCCATGGATTGCAGGAAGGACAGATCGAGGTACAACTACTTCCACAGTAGTGCTTGTGGTCACAGCTGGATGACTTCGTCTATATTAATGAAATTCACGTTTAACCAAGACATACATATATTATCAGTATATAATGAAATAGCAGTTCATAAATGAACTGTAGAACATGAAGAAAAAAAAGGACAATGAAAGAAAGAGTTTGGTCATGATCAAGAATGTACTGACCCTCGAAATTCACCAATACTTGAAGGACCTCCTGCATAGTCTGGGAAGCTCCGACCTTCACCCAATCTCTATAATACAGTTCAGAAAAATAATAATTTTATGATATTTATCATTTATGCAAAAAAGAATTGCTAATTTTTATTTTTAGTAACATCACTCAAATCATAAAAAGAGAAAAATACCTAAACTTTTACTTCATTTTCTGACACGAACTTTGGGGTTTGATCCTTGCCTACAATACGAATATAGGTTGCAGTTGACTCGCTCATTTCATCTAGTATATTGCCACCTTTATCCAAGAGGCATCCGATTTGATTTGAGAACAGTAAAAGTTTTGCAATCATAACATTGTCCTTGTTCTCAGGTGCAGCCCCTAAAAATTCGGGGTTGAATGCGAAGGACAACATCTTGCGGCAAAGATATCCTATCATCTGGGTGCTGCATAAATAGAAAGACCTTAGTCTTTGATTTTGCAAAGGTTAGATTATAGAACAACTAAGCAGCACGATTTAGAAGAGGAAAAGAAGAAAGAGTATGAACTTTAGCAAAAAGAACGACACCCCTAGGAAAAATGGCAATTTGGTTTTGAGAGAACCAAGTTGATGTTGCATTTTGCTCAGTCATTGGCTCGTACTTGGTGTAAAGTCCGTTGGTGAAAGGCTCGTACTTGGCAAGGACTGTTTTTACAAGTCCTGATGCAGCTCTTATAACACCAGCACTTTTGACATCGGTCGAAACAGAGTGAGCTGCACCCAACAGTTCAAAAGAGTATTCCCACTATGAAATCCCATAATCAATCCCTATGCAACTAATAAGATATCCCAAACATTTCATGTCTAAGCTAACTTTGTGTCTAACAGAAAAATCTCACCACCACAAACACAGTGCATTAACGTGTGAAAACATCCAATTTTCATTTGAAGTATAGGAAGGAGAATGTGTTAGTTTAGTTCTATGGAATGAAACACAAATTCACTTATAAAAAGATTTCCAAAGTAAAGCAGACAGTAGGAGTGGTTAACTATATTCTCAAATATCAAAAAGAACAAGTCTCCTAACAATGATTAGTTGGTAGCAAAACATAAATTTTATCAAGAAAGCATAGTAGATGTGTGCAAATCAGGAACAATTACAAACATGTATTTAAAACTTATCCAAAATTATTCAAAATAACTGAAAATTAACATTTATCAACCAGAATTGTGATTACCAACACATTAAAATAGAACAAAGATAGATAAACTTTCTGTAGATGCGAATAGGAAAATTCACAATGAATAATCCAGAAATGAAAGGAAAAATAGAAAGATATGCAGCGGAAGAGATAATGTAGTGTTCTTGTCTCGCAAGTCACAACCAGGCTATTCAGATTTGAGAGCTCCTTCCATCACTTATGGCACAAAGACTTGGCACTTCGCGAGTGATATGGTGTGTCGAGTTATAAAATAATAGAGACAATGTTGCGATGTGTTGATTTGTACACCACCAGAGAAGGAGGAATTTGAGGAACCATGAAATTTTGCATTTACTTCTATTAGTTTATATCAGGAAACACACACAATTAGCAATAGTTTTAGGTAAATAATTGGATTAACACTAAAACATGTAAAAGCAGTTAAAGATTTGCTAAGAAACTTCCAGCATATCTCGTACAACACGAAGCTAGTCTGCTTTCGACTAACATAATGTATCTCTCAGTGCCACCTATAGTCCGCTTCCAGTTAAAGATATGCACTGACCATCCAAAGTATGCAATTTTGAGTTCACTCTGAAAGCATAAATATTAAAAATAATTAATGTGAGTTCCATCATTTAAGCTGTAATGCATATTATAAACTATTTACAAATGCTAAATATATACCTGTACACCAACCAAAAGATTATCCGGTTTGATATCTCTGTGTATTACATATTTCTCATGACAGTATGTGAAGGCTTGGGCTAATGATGCAATATACTGTTTCAAGACAGAAGATAAAAGCGTGAAATAAAATTGTGCGACTCCAAAGGTCATATGATACTCAAGGAATCTGCAAAAATCATTCTATCTAAAAGTGGAGCAATCGACATCAATTTTTACACAGTATAGAAAACAGGCAGGTGAGATAATCAAAGGAAAACAAGAAGAATATAAGCAAGCAAATGAAAAAACTTACCCTTTTTAAGAAGAAGCAGAGAAGTCGAAGAAAGTCAGTGCTCTATGTAAAGTACGAAAAGGAGTACTATAGATATGTTGTGGATATTAGAACAAATCCAGAAGTTGGAAATTTATAGTAAGGGTTGGAGGAAAAGGATAGGTGTACAGAATAGCTAAAAGACTAAGAGAACAGAGGAGAAAGTCACAGACGAAGAAAGGGGAAGCGGTGAGGTTATAAAAATGTTAATTACTTGCTCGGAGAAAATGTGGAGGACAAAGTAAAAGCACAAGAAGGGTACCAATTTGAAATATAACTAAGTCTTCAAAAATCTAACACATCAAAACTACTTAACGAAAGATAGACTATTCTATGAAGGGGAATACATTAGCATATTTTTTACATTATATCATTAAACTGAACGTAAAAATACAGCTACATAATAAAAGCTTTGTTATACCATATTCATTACCAGTGAATAGAAAATCACAATTCACGAAGAAAATTATTGCATACATGTCTGATACTTTATCTATACAAAGCAACAATGAGAAAGAGGATATAGGAGAATACAAAGAAAAAACATCACAACCTGTAACTCAAAGGATTGCCTTCTGAATAATTTTGTCGTATACTATATTAGAGGTAGAATGATCGTCATCGCTACTTGGCATAGACGGTCGGATCAACAATTTCACACAACTTGAACTCTTTGCCCTCGATAAGGCAACGTAAAGTTGACCATGTGAAAATACAGGTTCCCGCAAATAAATTTCAACGAAATCTAAAGTCTGGCCTTGTGATTTATTTATTGTCATAGCAAAGCATAGTTGAACAGGAAATTGCGTTCTTTTAAATTGCACAGGCATTTTTTCATCCTGCGATGATAATAATGGAATTCTGGGGATAAACACGTGCATATTTTTGAAATCACCTGTCGTAATCTTAGCGCTGATCACATGGCTTTTAAAATCACAGCAAGTCAATCGCGTGCCATTACATAAACCTTCACATGGATTTAAATTTCGCAATAATATAATTGGACAATTCTCTTTCAAACATAATTTGTAAGGGGGCAAACCAGGAGGATTTAAAGTGTGTAGTAGATCTTCAAATTGTGTTTGGTTATTGAATTCAATAGCTTCATCGGTGCCAATAGATACTTTTGATTTTCCAGTAAATCGATCAATAAGCATGTCATTAATTTCATCGACGAAATCATTTTTTGTTGTCAAGATCATACGGGAATCTGTACAAAATGAATTAGAGCATAACGAATCCAAATTTGAATATGTCGCTGTGAATAGTTTATCGAGGGATTCTTTTTCGGTTGTGTAAGGAATAATCAAAGAATCTGGAATTTCAATCTTGTTTGCTGAATTGACTCGTTCTTGTCCATTTCCAATTCTTAATAAATAATCACAAAATGCAGGATCTGTTTTTGCTCTCATGTTCTCAGATAATTTTAATTTTTCAAGTTCATTCCAAATGCTAGAATATAATAAACTTTCGTTGATGAAATCTTCTTTTTTTCCATAGCGCACAACAGGAAGAGTTTGTCTGAAGTCACCTCCTAAAACAACAACTTTTTCGCCAAATAATACATTTATATCCATCGGATCTTTTAAGAGTAGATCAAAAACTTCCAACATTCTTTTTTTGGCCATAGATACTTCATCCCATACAATCAATTTTGCATCTCGGATTAAACCTACAAGTGCGCTTTCTTTGCTAATGTTACAATTGGCACTTTCATCGATGTCAACAGGAATTTTGAAACGCGAATGTGCAGTACGTCCTCCCGGGAGAATAGAAGCAGCAACCCCAGAAGTAGCTGTTGCCAAAGCTATATATCCCATGGATCGTACAGTTGCTAATAAAGCACGGTACAAAAAAGTTTTCCCTGTTCCTCCTGGACCATCTATGAAAAATGCACCTGGTTTATTCGAAAATATCCTTTCAATAATCACATTATATGCAATCAATTGATTTTTGTTTAATTTCCTATGCAACAATACATCATCTTCGCTAACAATAATAGATCTTTCAAAATGGATCTCTTTTGCCTCTTTTGCTGCCGTAGAAGGCCTGATAGTTTCTGAGATAAGTTCATACTCATTTACATCATGACCCATGGAATGTAAAATGTCGTTGATATGGTTCAGAGCTTGATATCAAATTTCTCTTCTTTCAATAGTTTGTAACACTTTATAGTCTTCAATCATCGATTCTTCAAATCGTTCCCATAATTTTCTGGGGTTGGCAGGACCACAATACACCAGTAACGTAGCAAATAAACGTCGTAAACTATATGGCATTTGATAACTTGTGGCCTCAGACATACACTCTATCAAGCTATTATCACAGTGCAATAATCCTCTTTTTTCTACGGACTCTCTGAAAGTACTACAAGGCTCTCCATTTACTGTCAAAAGATCCTTATATGACGTCGGTCCTTGCACATGCAATAGTAATAATCTAAGATAATATCGTTCTCCTTCTATTGGATGACATGTCACAATACGACCAACAGCACAACGTTTTTGTCTACGTGCCCAAAATTTGTCACTGGAGGATGACACGAAGTATTCAGGAAATTCTTTGTACAATAAGTTGAGCTCTTTAGCATCTTCGTCGGTATCATTCATGTAGAAGAATTCAGTTAACATTGTTTTCTGGATCATCGAATTATTCACAATTGTATGTATATCCGTGTTGCTCTTAAAAGAAACAAATTGTTGACCTTCAAGATGTAGTTGAAGACGATAAACGCTGGGAGACATTTCGCTTATAGGAAAACCAAAGAGACGCCATACGGCTTCTAGAGGTGATACCCATCTAGCAGATCTGTATTCCTTTACCTCATCTATCTCTATGTTTGTATTGTTATTTTGTACACAGAACGCAATTTTCTCATGTCCTTTACAAATGTATTTGTAGAGATATTTCACGACTTTGATGTCGGAGCACACTTCAACATTTATGTGACAATTGAATTTCCCAAGTAAATAAGGATTGTACGGAACAACCCAGGAGTTATGTAAATATTGTTCTCTTACTTTCACAACTTCCCCTGTATTTCGTCTTCTGTAAACTGGATAAGAATCATTTCCTTTCGATGTTTGATCGGCAAACATTTTTGGATATTTGAACTTGCAGTAACCCTTTTTTTCATGCAAGAATTTGTTGGATCTAAACTACCACATGGACCGTGGATCATATGCTTAATGACAAGCTTACGCGAATCTGGTTCTGCCTTGTCATCTGGTAATTCTGCTCTGATTATATCGTCATACGCCTCTACTGTCAACAATTTATGCTCATTACCTAGTATAATAAGAAAATGAGCATGGGGTAAACCTCGTTTCTGAAACTTCACGGTGTACATAAAAGCAACAACTTTTCCAAAGATATTTTGTTTCAATATATCCGTCTTCAGTTCTTCTATTTTAGCCCTGAACACTCGAGTAATCAAATCAGGTCTATTTTGTGCCTCGTCAGTTGACCATAGATGTTCTTTTATTTCCGTCCAAGATGGGTTACATGTCATAGTTATAAACAAATCAGGTTTCCCGAAACGTTGCACTAATGTAATAGCATCCATATAACATTGACGCATATCTCTAGGACCTCCTATAAAAGAATTTGGCAGAAAAGTTTGTTTTCTAACATTAGAAGCATCTCGTTCACCCAGTCTTAGAATATTGAGAAGTCCTTGCAGTATACCCATTCTAAATAAATCTTGATTGAATGAAACAAAGTCTAATCTTTGTGTTTCCAATTTTATATATTCATCAACTGAATATTGCTGGAGTAATCTTCCTGTATGCAAAATTTGATCTTCATCATCGTTTCTCATTTGAAGCTTGTAACAGTAGTATTCACGAACTGAAAGTGTATCTCTTTTGCGTTTCCCTTTTTGCAGATTTTGAGCTTCCATATCAAGATATCCATCAACAGATGTGAAATTTTTTATACTAGGCAATTGTTCAAATTCAACCAGAGTGTGGCTTCTAGGATTTTTTTTTTTGCTTTGGGCAACTTTTTAATACCACAGTGCCACCCGCCTTGACCATATGGAAATAACAACGGGTACTGTAATAGGTCATAGCATCCAAATAATAATTCACTCTTTGTGTCATGTCGCTGTGAGTATAAATTTGAAGATGCGGCGCATGAGTAGCAGAACTATCATTTTCATCAACCCATATTGCTGCAATTTCAGTAGTAGTAGGCAGATTATATACACGTTGATCTAATCCATCATCACTTTTTAATGCTATGTGAAAGTTTTGTAAGTTCGACATATCTGTTAACGATCGTAGAAATATTGAATATGGATTATCCTTTAAAATCTCCATCAATTCTTTCACTAATGATTCATTTAATTTGTCTGAACAAGCCATTGCAAATTTCTTGGTCGTCTTTCTCTGGGATATAAATCATCTATCAAATGATACATCTGTCCTTGAACTCCGAATGTATATATACCACGGTTTCTCTTGGCTAAATCTTTGTCATAACTGACACCAAGTGATATAAAAGCAAACAGAATATTATATGTTCTAATATACGTTCGAAAATGCTTGGATTCTGCATTATTTCCCATATATAAATTTTTCAGTTTAGCTGGCATTCGATGAGAGCTTAACTTCACTGTACCATTGCCACAACAAAATCCAGGGGGTTCATATTCAATTTTTTTCGCATAGCAGAACAAGCAACTTGGAATCTTTTTTAACGGAATATAATCAGAGCGTAGTTGGTTAATGTTAATCGTAGTTCTCTTATTCTTTAAACGGCCTACATAGCGCAGATAATTAATTGTAAGAGATAAAAATAGAATCAATGGTGAAATTAATGAAGGATGATCCTTATACTAACCTTTAGTTGTAACTGTTTCAAAGGTTGGAGCGCATGAATCATTTGCGGTACCCAATGTTGAACCTGATTCATGATAGTTATCAATTAATTAATATGCAGAATACATACAAGAAGTTAAATAGATACTACATCTTTATGGTTTTACCTTTTTCAAAAATATGAAAAGGTTGGGTCATATCATTTTTCTTGTCAAAGACATCGCATGGCGAAAAAGCTCGATACTGAGTAACTGTATGGTCATAGTTGTAAAGGTGACATATTAATAATCATTGTGTATGTATATATTATAAAAGCAACGAAAAGGATAGAGCTTTTGATATTCTAACCTGTTTCTGAAGAAGAACAATACACTCCAATATTAACATCATCATCCATATGAGATATTGTTCCAGTGCGATTGATATGATTTGTATTTGCAAGAAGGCGATTAGTTGTTGTCTCGCGAATTTTCAAGCGTCGTTGCAATAATTTTTCTTCTTTCAAGGTCATTCCCAAACAGTCGTTAATTTACGGTATTTGCTATTCTTATCATGAGCTTCCGTCACCGAGCGATGACGCTTATTTGATTGTCGAATATCCATTAATTTGATTTTGTTATAACTATTGGTACTCCGATTGTCCTAAACATCATTATACAACAATAGAATTGTGATTTTTTGATCAAATAGCAAGATATATGGAAGAAAGCACAATTAAGTATAATGAGCAGAAACGTACAACTATTTCACCTTATTTATTTTGGTGTAAACACATGGGAGATGGAAGGAAAAAGAAAGACAAATTCACAATTTGCAAAGTTAACTTTTTGTATCTTATTGTCAAAGCCACTGAGGAAAGCGATAAATTATTGTCATGTTGACCACAAAAATAGTTCATTATTTCACCCTTCAAGCCATTCAAAACTTCTGCTTCTTCCATATGGTAACTACTACTACTAACTAAAGCTTTGTGCTTAACTGCTTGTGCACAAGTATATATTATATTGAAAAGTAAGCTGCATATTCTATTCATATGTCACCCCACTTCTCCTCTTTTTCTTTTCTGGTATTTTTTGGTGACTTAAAGCAGTATAAATATGTTAAAATTCACTGTAAATTTAATGATAGAATTTGGGTTTTTGCTTATTCATTTGCTTCATTTGTTAGGTTCTTGATCTTGCAAGGAAGGCTACTATTCTAGATCTTGAAGTGATCAGTTGTTCATTATTTCTCTTCATTTACATGTTGTTCTTGTATTGGGGTACTAATGCAAGCTTCTGAAGTTCTATTTTTCTTGACTATTGAAATGTTTTATTGCTATTTTAACATATTTCTCCTACTTTCTTGATTAAAAATTTGTTCTTTTTAATGAAAGTTTGTGTTATAACAAAATGCAGTAAACTATTTTAAATTAGTTGTAGTTAGCTAAGATAACTCATAAGAGCCTCTGTCTTATTATAAAAACTGACAATTATAAACAATATTCATACAGGTGAAGTATTACATGAACTAACATGAAATTCACTGAGTTTTTTCCATGATAAATCATTACCCACTTGCTGCTATTAAAAGCGAGACGGGGGAAAGCAAAAAGAAGAAGCTATGAGCAGTACTTTTAGAAAAGATAAAATCGTTGAAAATTTAACCAAATAGACATTGTAATTCAATTTAATTTAGTGTATAAATTGTTTAAAACAAATCAATATTATTGGCAATCCATTTTTTCTTCTAATACACTTTACAAAAAAAAGAGCTATTGCTCATGACCAATCACAGTATTTTTGGTAAATAGTTTGACCACTATTTGTGTCTTCATACCTATAGATACCATCATCCTTCACATTATATATGTATCTTCTAGTACCTTGCGGAATAAAGTTGACTTCATCCCCTACGCAATAATGTGGATTGTTAAATACATCAAACACACTATGCATTGGACTTTACTAGGATAGTAGGTTTGGAGGATGTAGAAGATTTTGAGCCGCTGATTTCTTCTTCCATTNGCAGTATAAATCTGTTAACATTCCCTGTAAATTTCATGATAGACTTTGGGTTTTTGCTTATTCATTTGCTTCATTTGTTAGGTTCTTGATCTTGCAAGGAAGGCTACTATTCTAGATCTTGAAGTGATCAGTTGTTCATTATTTCTCTTCATTTACATGTTGTTCTTGTATTGGGGTACTAATGCAAGCTTCTGAAGTTCTATTTTTCTTGACTATTGAAATGTTTTATTGCTATTTTAACATATTTCTCCTACTTTCTTGATTAAAAATTTGTTCTTTTTAATGAAAGTTTGTGTTATAACAAAATGCAGTAAACTATTTTAAATTAGTTGTAGTTAGCTAAGATAACTCATAAGAGCCTCTGTCTTATTATAAAAACTGACAATTATAAACAATATTCATACAGGTGAAGTATTACATGAACTAACATGAAATTCACTGAGTTTTTTCCATGATAAATCATTACCCACTTGCTGCTATTAAAAGCGAGACGGGGGAAAGCAAAAAGAAGAAGCTATGAGCAGTACTTTTAGAAAAGATAAAATCGTTGAAAATTTAACCAAATAGACATTGTAATTCAATTTAATTTAGTGTATAAATTGTTCTCTGTCTAAACACACAGGGAAATCATTCTATAAGCTAAATATGGAGAAACTCTGCTTCGTTAGTGTATAGGGTCGAGTTTTGCCAACCCCGTCCTCAAAAGGGACACGACCTGTCATGTGGACAAAGGTCGGGTCCAAGAGACGATCATGTAATCACGTCGGCCCCTCTGTAACGTGCACTTTATCTTTAGTTTATATATTTTATCTTTATATCGTAAATAGAGAAAAAGGGGAAATCCCTCCGCTATATAAGAGGGGTTCCCAACTGTGTAAAGGAGGACTTTTGATCAATAACATTTCTACTTACTCTCTCTATCTCCCGGTCTCAATTTCTATTTCTCTTTCTCTGAAAAACGGATACCTCTGATCTCTGTAACACTATCACACAACTGTGTCCTTCAACTGCTCCGAATCACCAAACCACAAAGGATTACTCATACTCTATTGTCGATTATCTTTGATTACAATTTATCACTTCTCCATATATTTGATTGATTTGCTTAAACACTGTTCGTTAACATTTTAAGTCAAACAATTTGGCGCCGTCTGTGGGGATTTCGATAATCAAAGTCAAGTTCACATCTAGAGTATCAGAAACAACGATCATTATCCCCCCAAAAAACTCAGTAGAACCAGAAATGGCAGACAGAGAAGCTAAGCTAAAGATGATAACCGATGTCTCAACCAACCTGATGGGTCCCCTCAACGAGGACAATAGAGAAGATGCTTCAAATGCAACACCGAGCAATCTTCCGGAGGAAAATGTATCGCCCTCCTCACTCGAAGATCTAACGATCTTGCATGAGAAGGGGACTTCGACACCCGTAGTAAAGGAAACACTCACAGTAGTCAAAAAATTGCTGGAGGAGTGGCTGACAAACACCCTGAGCGGCCTGCTCGAGAAACCGTCTTCGGGAAACCCCTAGCGATTTGCCAGCGGCAGCGACTACCGCAGCCGCCGGTGAACCAGGTGCTATGCGGACGAGCCGCGCCCATACAGACATCATCGTAAGCAACGATGCACTCGCAACCATCCTACGAAAAATGGAAGAAATGGAGAATGAGAATAAAGCACTCCGTGACCAAATGAAAGAGCACCAGGAAAGGGTAGACAAAATACCCGGTGCACCAAAATTACTGTCGAAACGCGACGTAGGACGTTTTGTCGAGCAACCGTACAGCGAGGAAGCCGCCCCTCATCCGATCCCAAAAACCTTCAAGATACCCCCATATTTGAGAATATATGATGGGACCACGGACCCAGAAGATCATCTGATCCACTACGTAACCGCTGTGAAAGGAAATGACTTGTCAAAGGAGCAGGTGCCGTCCGTGCTGCTGAAAAAGTTCGGAGAAACCCTGATCGGAGGGGCACTAACATGGTTTTCGCAACTGCCGGCTAGGTCGATATCAACGTTCGAGGAGATGGCGGACAAATTCGCTACCGCCCATGCGGGAGCAAAGAAG